GGGTGCGCCCTTCGCCGTTCCCGGAAGTTACTTACTTCCGGGTTCGCCGACCAATCGGTTCGCGGGGACCGCCACGAACCGGTTGAAACCCACCCCTGCAGCTTATCAATCAAACTTAAGACTTTTTAGACCACACTGAAACATCAGCAGAGAAAATTCAGATGTGCAAGGCTCCTAAAGGCCTAATATAATATACAAATGTATAATACATTAGCATCTGTATTGTTCGGGGGTTTTGTAGCATGTTTTGTGAACTCCGTTACAACAGTTGGTGTACTGGTGGTTATGATTTACATGTTGTGCGAACTCAGCCACTCTGATCTATTCACTGAAGATAAGTAAACAAACCATGATTAATCAAATGTTTTTAGCATAGCCTACAGCAATCTACTGTGTTAAAAGAACATTTACTAGATATAGAAAGTAATTGATATAACAATCTTAAATAACTGAATAGACATTGTCACAGCTTTAAAAAAAATGATCACATCATTTTATAAATCCTGGGAAGAATCTCTCCTCCATTTTGATAGAAATTAGATATAAATTTGCCTAACAAATGAAAACTTAATAAGGTTTCCTTTTCACTCAACATTCTTAAAAATTCTGTGATGCATATAAACACAAGAACTTTACCTGTTTGGTGATCGTCTTGACTAGTATCTTCTGTCAAATTCTGAAAAAAAAAATTAAATTAATTAACTGGGAGTTTGGATATTGCTTTGTAGGTTCAAATATTGACAGCAGTCTCATTCTGGCCTACTACTTTCCCTCATCAGATTTAAAGGTCAAAGATTACAATCAGTTACGACTGACTCTCTTATCTGAGGGAAAACATCTGAACTTTCTGCTATAAATTATTCTGGATTAAATTTCTCAAGTGTTTTATCATAAAAATGGTCATTGATATTCTTGTTTTGTTATTTCCCTTTAATTGCTGCAAAATGCATGGGTTCAACAAAGTTCTAGATTTCATCTCACTTCTAAGAATTTCAAACAACTTATCCATATAAACAAATACTGTATTTTTCAGAGTATAAGACGCACTGGAGTATAATATACACCAAGATTTTGAAGAAGTAATTTTAAAAAAATGTTTTTGCAGGCCTCCCAAACCCTCTGCATGCCTCATTTTTTGTGAAAAATGGGGCATGCAGAGAGTTTGAGAGGCCTGTAAAGTGCTCCTGGGGGCTGGGGGCAGGAGCAAAAATGAGCAAAAAAAGTCCACTTTTTGCAAAAAAACCCCAGGGCATGCACAGTTTTTTTGGGAGGCTTGTAGAATGCTCCTGGGGGTTGGGGGGCAAAAACGAGCAAAAAATGGCCCGTTTATCATTCATTTTTGCCCTCCCCAGCCCCCAGGAGCACTTTGCAGGCCTCCCAAAGCCTATGCATGTCCTTTTTTGTGAAGGAGGCGGAGTTTTGGGATGCCAAAAATGCTGTATTCAGTGTATAAGACGCACCCATATTTTCTCCCTCTTTTTTGGGGGGGAGGGGAAGGTGTGTCTTATTCTCCAAACAATCAGGTAATGAATAATACATTATAGCCTGATTTTCCCCCCAAAGTCAGCAAAATAAATGCAGTTTGATTGTAACTGATATTAACCGTGGGATTAAATGTTCCTTTGGATTAAAATAATAGAGGAATTGGATATAAAAGGTCTAGACTTGGAGCAACCAAGTGCCCTCCAGATGTTTTGAATTATATCAAGTAAAGGAAAGTCCAGAACAAGCTCAAGCATGTGCTACAAGTCTATTTTAGACTAACTGTTTGAAAAGATGGAGTGAAAATCTCTGGATTGTAAAATATGAGATCCACCAAATGAACAAAGGCAATGTTGGAGTTTTACTTCCCTCAAAGACCTGCATGCATGATTTTAAACCTATCTCCTTTTCTTGGGTCACCCATTGGAAGCCAGATGGAGTATGTCCAAGGAGGTTATTGCCATTAGCAGGAAGCATGTGGAAAAAAGATTGCTGGTGCTGGTTTAGCCAAAGAAGGGAGAGTGAGAAAAGCATCTTAACAGAATAATAGAGTTGGAAGGGCTTTGGAAATTTTCTAATATAAGCCCTTGTACAAGGAGGAGACTATATCATTCAGGCTGCTGAACCTTTTCTTTAAAACCTTCAGTGGCAGAGCGCACACAACTTCTGAATGCAACCCATTCCACTGGTTAATTGTTCTCACTGCGAGGAAATTTCTGCTTAGGTCTAGGTTGGTTCTCTCCTGATTAATTTCCATCCATTTTTTCTTGTCTTGCCCTTCACGTGCTTTAGAGAATAGGTTGGTCCTCTCTTCTTTGTGGCAGCCTCTCACATATTGGAAAACTGCTATCATGTCACCCATAGGCCTACTTTTCACTAGACTAGACATAGCCAATTCCTGCAACTGTTCTTCATATGTTTAGCACCCCCACCCACCCCCAATCATCTTTGTTCCTCTTCTCTGCACTTTTTCCAAAGTCTCTACATTTTTTAAAAATATTGTGGAGTCCAAAACTGGACCCAATATTCCAGGTATGATCTTACTAAGGTTTTATAAAGCGATACTAACATCTCACATGATGTTGATTCTACCCCCATTAATGCAGCCTAGGATTGCATTGACCTTTTTGGGTACAGGACAATGAATTCCCTTTTATTCACTCATCTAAATCATTATGAAGATATTGAAGAATACTGGGCCTAAGAAAGAACTTGGGGTACCCCACTCCTTATTTCTTTCCATGTAGGTGTAGTTCCATTAAGGAGTACACGTTGAGTGAGGTTTGTAAGCCAGTTACAAATCCATCTGATGGCGATGCTGTCTATCCCACATTTTTCTAACTTACTAAGAAGTAGGTGGTAGTCTAGTGCCTAACTGAAATCTAAGTATACTACGTCCACAGCATTTCAATGGTCCACTAATTTAGTCACTTTGTCAAAGAACGAAATAAAATTTGCTTGGCATGATCTGTTTTTGACAAACCCATACTGGCTTCTGATTATAAATATGACTTGCTTCTAAGTGTTCGCAGATCAATTGTTTATTATCTTTTCCAAGATCTTCCCAAGTATTGATTTCAGGTTGATTGGACCGTAGTTTCCTAGATCAATTCCCCCCTCCCCCCTTTTGAAATTGGGAACTACATCAGCTCTTTTCCAAGTCTCTGGTAGTTCTTCAATGCTCCAGGATCATTGAAAGAACTGGTTCAAAAGTTCCAAGATCACCTCTGACCACTCCTTCAGACCTCTGGGATGTAATACATCCGGTCCTGGTGATTGAATTCATCTAAAGTGACAGGTATTCTCTTACCATTTTCTTGCCTATTTTAAATTGTATTCCTAGTTCTTTTACGGTTCTGTTTTTGGCAGTTTGTGCTATTTTTTCCCCTCTGGCTTGAAGACAGATGCAAATAATGAATTAAATAGCTCTGCTTTTTGCCTGTGATCCTCACTTCCTTGCCATCTTCTCCCATTAGTAATTAGTGAACTAGCTTCATTTCTCCATCTGTGAAACCACCACAAAAAGCAACACTTTGCTAATTCTCAGTTCCTGTTGTAAATGCTTCAACAAGTGACCATATCATTGTGATAGGCTGCCTAATGCTTCCAGAAAGAAAGGGGCAGAGTAATAGCTTGATATGTGTTTTAATGTCTTATTTATATTCGATACATTATACATATATTTTGAAAGAAATAAGCAGCTCTGAATAACCTAAGAATCCTTATGATCAGAAATTCAATTGTGTTATATTAAAATACACAAACAAGTATATATCTAAATAATATAACTAAATATAACTAAAACTTCAAAGTATTAAAACTTTGAAGTTTTAACTTTGAAGAAGAAAAACTTTGGCTCTGGCTTCATTCTTTTCTGATAATCCTACAGCATGCTTATTATTCTAATATGCAACCTACAAGCGGGCAAGACTATGTAGGGTAATAGGAATAGCAGGATAAGAATCCTAAGGTATCTAGATTCGGAGGGGTATTTGTTTAATGGAAGAATGAATGAACATACCAGTTGCGCATCTAAAGTTTGAATATTAATCTAAAGATGAATACTGAAGAAAGGATTAGCTCAAAGGAAAGTACGGACAGTTAAATTTACACAGGTCTTTGTTGCCAATTGCAAAATAATAACGGAAGAATATTTAAACATCCATTTAATGTTAAATAACCACGATTTTTCAAAAATGTAAGCAATTACCAGCCTATTAAGAGTATGGTAAATCTTGTGAATATTTGCCAGTGTTGATAGATGAGAGTTCAGCTGGAAATCTAGGAATGAAAAAACAACATAAAATGTATATTATGTTAGTTCTGCAAAAAAAATATAGGGAATATTTTTTTTAATCTCTGCACAGTTATTTTAAATGTATAAGCTAGCTAGAATTGAAGAGAATGGTCAAATTATTGTTGATGTCATAAACAAAAAGTGTCAAAAGATTCTGACCTGATTTGACCTGCAGAAGCAGTAGTCTTTAGCCAAGAAGCTCTAGAGCCAAGTATGAACTTGGGAGCAAAACCGATTGTTGATACATCCACAACATTAAAAGCAACCATTAATACATTTGGAGTAATTCCCCGAATCATCTCCCCCCCCCAAACCGCTCCCCCCAAAATATTCCTAAATTCAGTTGAATCATTTCCAAAGAGACTCCTAATCCCAACATGGTATCCTCTAAATAGCTAGTTATGCCTTAAATAGATTCCGCTAGCAAAGCAAAACATGGCCTCATTATACAAAATAAGAAAATCGAAGTTGTCGGGTACAAAAAAAAAATGTTAATCTGAATAAATAATTTAATTGCAAGTAAACAGTAGGGAAAAATAGCCAAAATAAGGTGTGTGGTTTTTTTTTGCAACATACGTTCTTTTCCTCCAGCATTCTGAAGCTTGCATTCTGTCTAGACTGAACAACAGCCATGCTTGACTTTTTATAAGTGTTTTGCTAGCCTGAATACTTTTCAGTCCCAAAGAGGTTTCCTGTATAAGGAAATATCAGTTTGAAGAGAAAAAATCCTCATAGTCTGTTCTCAAAACAAGACCAACAAATTAACATTTCACATAACACATTAAGTTTATCCAAAGTTGAACTGTTTATTAAAGGCAGGCAAAATTTAACATACTGTGTCGAAATAAATTAAGGCTACACCACTTAATTTACTAATTGTAGATATGGAGGAACTTCAGGTCGTACAAACAAGCATTTTCAAAGTAATACAGTATTATAAAAATAAGCGCTCTTAAAAACCACAGAGAGAAGACTCTTAATTTAACCCGGCAACAGTCTGTTTCACATTCTTTTAAGATAAATTAAAACTAAGCACAATAAATAGTCTTATAGTACAAAACAGTATAAAACATTAGAATATCTCCAGCAATCAACCCTAAGTCACAGCTAGGTAAAAATATGACAAGCATTTCCAAAAGAGATAAAACTTCCTAATTATCAGCAATGTTGAGAAAGAGCTCTATTGTGCTACGTAGACACAATTTTTACGTCAAATACAGATCCGGTAAACAAAATATGCTGTGCATTGAGTTCACACTCAAATATGTAATATTAAATCATGGTGAAGGCTTAGAAGCATGATTAGTTTACCTTAACCAGGATGTGGCTTTTTATCTGAAACTGGTTAAATCAAAAAAGCACATTTTTTGTTCTATTTGCATACTGCCATGTTATACGTTATGGCAACTTTGGGTTCAACTCTCATTCACAGTTTACACTAGCCAGAGTTTAGAGTCGTTTATTTATTAATCGCATTTATATAAACACCCTTCTCATCCAAAGCAATTTGGGCAACACACAATTAGATTTTAAAAAATGAATAAAAACAAAAATATGTCTGTGTCTATCTATAAAGAGATGATGATGATGATATCATTAATTCAGGCTCATGGCAATTTACAAGGGAATAAAAAGGGCTCATGACACAAAATAAATAATTAAATGTCCATGGTAAGAACATAAAATAAAGTAAGTGGCAGGAAAAGTAAGAGACAAAGCAAAACAATGTTTCAACAGGTTATATAATCATTACCTGTAAATGTTCTTTTAAAAACAACACATTAACACCTCCGGTGTTTACCATCCAAAATTATAAGAAAACATTAAACTATTAGAATCCCTCCAAAGTAATTCTCTCTTTTCAGAAGTTCATTACGATGGAGGTCCATCTAATGTCCAAAGGGAAGCAGTTAGGTGAAGGACCACTGTTTCTTGGTTTCAGCCCCCTACACAGATAGTCCTTGATTTACAGTCACAATTGAACCCAACATTTCTGTTGTTAAGTGAGACATTTGTTGAGTTTTGCCCCATTTTATGACCTTTGTTGCCACAGTTAAGTTAAATCACTGCATTTGTAAATTAGTAACACGGATGTTAAGTGAATCTGACTTCTCCATTGACTTTGCTTGTCAGAAGGTCGCAAAAGGGGATCAGGTGACCCCGGGACGCTGCGACCGTCATAAATACGAGACAGTTGCCAAGCTTCTGGATTTTGATCACACGACCACGGGGATGTTGCCATGGTGATAAGTCTGAAAACGGTCACAAATCACTTCTTTCAACGCTGTTGCAACTTTGAATGGTCACTAAACAAACTGTTGTAAGTTGTTGTAAGTTGTTACCTTCTAGAAATGTGTGGTCGCCATGACCATCTCCCGCGAAGAAGGTATTGATTGGATGGGTCAATTGAGATTGGAAAAAGTGGTCAAGATACCTTGGCACCATTATTACGAAATACACATGATGTGTTTATATAGTGGGCCCATATCCCCAAACATATGTTTTTAGAGGTTGCATATGCAGCCTACGATTTTACTACCCTAGAAAACTATTTGTAAGTAAAAACTATAATAAATGCATAGAGCAGTGTTTCTCAACCTTGTCAACTTGAAGATGTCTGGACTTCAACTCCCAGAATTCCCCAGCCAGCGAATGCTGGCTGGGGAATTCTGGNAGTCAACCCTGAGCCGGTGAGATTTGAACCGCTGACCTGCTGATCTAGCAGTAGCCTGCAGTGCTGCATTTAACCACTGCGCCACCTTGGCTCATGATTTGGGACCTAGTGGGACAAGGATTTCAGGGGACAGAAGGATCATTAGCTGGTATAGGTTCTGGAAGCAGACAGTGTATAAGTGAGTGCAAGAGAGACAAATGGCAAGTGGGCCAGGGAGGGGGGCATGGCGATGGCTATTCTTGAGACTCTGACTACAACAGGAAGTCCTTAAAAACCAGTTGTTCCACAATGTTTTAGGCCCCAAAGTATTCCTGTTAAGATAAGCTTTTAAATACTGAAATGCTCCCAATTTTATTGACTATATTTCTTTTCTTCTTTGCCATCCGCCTCAAGTCTTGTGGAATGAACAGTAAATAAAATCACATAAATATTCAGAAAAAGATAGCAATAGCACTTAAGACTTATATACTGCTACACACTGCTTTATAGCATTCTCTGAGATGTTTACAAATATCTGCATCTTTCCCCCAACAATCTGGGTCCTCATTTTACCCGAACTGGGAAGGATGGTTGAGTCAACCTTGAGCGGGTCAGGATCAAACTCCTGGCAGTGGGCAGAGTTGGCCTGCAGTTCCAACTGCATTCTAACCACTGCACCACAGCTCCTAGATGTTACATACATCTTCACAAAATTATTGGATAAGACAGTACAGTTTTTTTAAACTTTATACAGACATGCAAGATCAACTTTAAGAGGACAATGATCGCTATTTCACATTTGTTAATAGAAATAATACTTACTGCAAGGATGTCATTCCTTTTAGCCATTCTTGCAGTGTAAAATAGCCCATATTCTGAGCATCCAATTTCCAAGCCAACACAAGCATGGCTACCTGGTTTAAAAATAAACAAAAGATTCCAAAGTTCATATAAGAATTTTGATTTCTTCAATGCTTTTCTTAATGCATCTCATTTTCAGAGCCTTGTATTGGCGACCAGTGATAGGGCAGAAGGGATACACAGCTCCATTTTTTTCCAACTATTTAGACTTCAAAAAGTGCAGGGAATATTCCAGTGCTGGCATTCAAGGGATGAGTGGAAAGACAAAAATATCTGAACCATAAAAAAGAAAGATGACTGCCAAAAGTTTATTTCTTCTGTTCAGCAAAACGTAATAAATATAATATCGAATCATTTCAATGGGCCACTTTCATATCATGATTAGCGTAAAGTAGTCAAATGGTAAATGCATCTAATTTCTGCCCCATATATGCCCAATGTTCCGTCTCATTGGTAGGTAAAGAAGTGACTTTCTTGTTGTAGCTTGTTAACAGAGCAAATTTTTTAAGTATGCCATCCAAATGCAAGTCAACAATGTTTCTGGGTGTATGTATTCCTAAGCAAACTGGAAAATATACATCCATACACTATAACATACATCTTGCATGCATGGACACATGGAACCATTTGCTACAATTATCTAGTCACCAATGGAAGTTGTGCGCTAGAGCTGCCCACATACTAGAGGGTAACAGAACCATATTTGCCATTTAATTACATAGTGGATAAACACACTGCGCCAGCACTATCAATGAGCTAGGTTCCTCATCAGGTTTAGGATAGAGCGACAGAACGAACAAATCACAAGGTTCTTTTGTTAAAAGATGGAAATGGGTGAAGCACAAACTGATCCCCTCCTACCAATAAATGAATTTGAACGTACGTTTTCTGGCTCAACCCCTATGTCCTCACAGAACTTCTCCATTCCTTCAGGACCCACAACGTCATCTGTCCCTACAAGTAAATGACAAACATTATTATTTTCTACTCAAAAGTTACAATCACTTGATTATTAAAGTCCAAATGACTGGACCATACAAAAAGAGCAGCTCTTACAAGGATGGGATTTCTTGAACACTGCTTAGGCACACAGCAGGAAGTGCAGGTCCAAAGATCAAAAACTCCTTTCTCTATCTCAATCCCACAAGATACAGCTGTCACAACATGCAAATATTCAAAGAGCCCAAAGGTTCCTCAAAACAGAATCAAATGTTATTATTTACTTTATTGCAGATTCACATCCATTGCTCCAATTAACCAAAAAAGAGATACTCTTCAAATGTTTAAAATACAGCACCTCAAAGCCACTTTTGAATTTTCAAAAATGGATCTATTAAGTATCTGCAAAACTGACTATAATTTCAAGTCAAAACTAAAACTGCACTTTTGGAGAAAGGTAGAATTATGTGAAGTCATTCTCATTTCATTTAATTAGTACGTTGATATTTTAATACTTCAAATTGATTTTTCCTCTTAAATTCTTGCTTAGAAATATTTAAGAAATGTGCGGATGTGAACACTTGCCTGCATATTCATAGAACCATTCTAAACACCTTTTACTTGAAAACATATCATCTTCTGACCTTATTCTGGTAGAATCATATTTTCTGTACACGCTGAAATAAAAGAGAAAAAGCTTAAGAACATGGTATTTCCCAGTTCTATAAAATGGTATGCCAGTGTCATATCATTTTAGATTGCAAGCCTTTGAAGTAACTTCTTATCTCTGGTCAACCCACTCACTTTCAGAGTTCTGACACTGTGAATAAATTTTATAAGGTCATTTGCAGAACTTCCAAATTCTACACTCAAATTTAAAGCACTTTCAAAACAGGCCTTAACACAGATGCAACGGATGGCCTGATCTTGGAAAAAGAAGCAGCTGCTTTATGAAATCAGCTGCAACTCTTACAGCACAAGGATTTTTTTTTCTGATTTGCTCTGAAGCCCAGAAAAAAAAATTAGGCTGCTTCAATGAATAGAAATGCTGTGTGCTGAATTGAGATCCAAAACATTTCTTCCCAACTATTTTCCTGTACAACCAGAAGCAGGAAACAAATCTTCCTTACCAAATCTTACTTCACTTACTTACTACAAATTAAGCTCACCGTTGTGAGATTTCTGTTTTGTAAGGTTCTTTAATCATTTTGCCACTCGCTCACCATAATCAAAGTGTGTAGACAACATAGGTCAAATTATAAAACCTATGGAGAAATCTGTCCTCCAAAATAATTTCTTATGGAAGAACAGGTAGCACTGACAATAACTCTTCAAAGAATGAGAGTATATTGTGCCAGGTACGCAGAGCGTAAGAAAGCCTAGAAATCTCATTTAAATAAGCTGCTGATGGAGTTGATCAACCATCTTCTCCTGCTTTGCTGCCCTTCCGAATGTCATGTTTCTTAATTGAATAATGACCGAATAGGAAAGATTATGTACCCATCGTGTCTACTTTTTTTAGCTGTCAGATCATCTCCCGTTGTAGGTCGCCTTTTTTTTCTTGGCGGCATCACTTTGCTGAAGCTGTCTGATGAACTGCAAGATCTCAGGTTTCCTGCAAGGGAATGTAGGAAAAAGAGACAGACATGACATAGGTAGATATTATTTAATTATCTTATTTCATCAAGTTATGCTTTCTCACAAAATTTTGAGGCAGCTTATCAGGAGTGGGTTTCTCACCCCTTTCCAACCGGTTCGGTTGGAACGGGGCCGGCGGCGTCCTCGTGCACGCGTGCAGCGCACGCATGCGTACTAGCGTCTGTGCGATGCTCCAGCTGCTCCTGGAGGATCGCGCAGGCGCTGTATGCGTCCTGTGCATGCGTGGAAGCGCAGAACTTGTCAAAACCGGGTAAGTGGGCCCTTCGCCGTTCCCGGAAGTTACTTACTTCCAGGTTCGCCGACCAACCGGTTCGCAGGGACCGCCGCGAACCGGTTGAAACCCACCCCTGGTTACCACCCACATGTGGAAGCCCATGGGTGTGGGTTGGGGGGGGAGGGTTAGTGTGAGGGTTAAGGTTAGGGTAATCGTGAGGGTGAGGGTTAAGGTTAGGGTAA